ATGTTTTAGAGTCTCTATACTCCAGTTTATGATTAGTTGATTACTTAATTAGTTGACAATTATTTCAATAATTGATTAATCTCGATTAATCTGATTCATTTTTCAGCCCTAAATTCATCCATCACACCTATTGTCTCCATATTTATCCTTTGCATCTAGGGCTGCAACCAATTATTATTCTGCAAATTGAATAATCTGTTGATTCTTTTTTCGATGAATCGATTAATAATTGGATAATTGGTTCTAAAGAAGATTTTTTAAACAAAATAAAACCAGAATAAACTAAAACTTTTCCATTTGAGGAGTTCTGCAGAGTATATTGACACTGTTTACATTAATTACATTTTTTTTTACCATTCTGCTATAATTGCTGCTCTAAGTTGGCTGCTCTGTCTGCGAAAGACTCACTTTAGAGTCTCTAAACTCCAGTTGATGATTAATCAATTACTAAATTAGGTGACGATTATTTCAATAATCAATTAATCATGATTTATCTGAGTAATTGTTTCAGTCCTAGTTCCAACCCTAAAACAGTTTTTAGAGCTCTTTGTTAAGGAAGCTGGGCTTGAGTTGAAACCTTTTTTTTGGGTTTTGGTAAGTCCTGTATGAGACTTTATTTCCATTAAGCTTTGCTGATGTGTTTAATCTGCAGCACTCAGACCCTGAAATAAAAAAACGAGTGACGAATCAAATTCATTAGCAGTTCCTGTCCTACTTTAAAGTACTATTTGTGTTTGTATTAACAGCCCATTTGTGCCAGTCTCTGACCAACTTCTTATCTAATTTCAGAAATCAGATTAGGTCAGTGTAGTTGTCAAGCATGTTTCTTGGGACCCAAACAAGAGCTTAAACTGATATGTTTACTGTTGTCGGATGATGATATTGCACATTAATAAAAAGTTTCTGCCATGCATAAACAGGCATAGCGCTTCCCTCTGGGTCCTTAATGTTTAATTACCCCTCCACGTCAGATCTGCGCCTCAGTGAGTCAACACAAATCAAGAAGTGGGACAAACTCTTTTTGTATGGTCATTAAATAGGACACAATCCGCTAACTGAACTGGGATTTCTGTGGGGAGATGTCCACTGAGGCAGCTGCTACACGATGAAAGCTGAACTTCTCCCTAATACTCCAATCATCATAAAGTAATTCCTGGGAAAGATAAGAGGCAGAGTTTTATCAAACATCTTGAAGAAACTCTGTTCATCCAGGATTTTTCTTTTTTTCTGTCTCAGAGGAGCTTACTGTGAACAGGCTCTTAATCACAAGTAATACATAGTCAAGAATTGTGACTAAGCCAATGCTATTAGGAGGGAAATATGTTTTCCACACACAAGCTGCCTTAGAAGCACAGAGTTTTTACACTTCAGTGATTTTGCTCATTTGTGGAGCAAATCATGACCTTTGTACGGGTTTGTAGTACAATTAGGCTTAAGGCTTTCTGTTTCGTCCTTTTCTCTCTTGTGTCAGTGTCGTTCTTTCATAATAAGTGCATTTAATGGTTTTAAAATCTAAAACTTGAAATAATCAGTTTTAATTGTGCTGAGA